AATTTAAAGCCGGCGTGTAACTGGGGAAGTACTGAATAGAAGAGTTTGTGGCCTAAGGCAGGACTTCTGGATGGGGCTTACACCGGGGGTAGAGGCGGCAAGTTTAGCCACAGCACCAGCTGGAGAGGAACCCAGCAGTCTTTTTGCAGAGGAGATGCAAGTCCCCACCCTTACCCCCCAGACCCCTGAGCTTCTCAGGTTCCTCTCCGGATCCGGGTGGGTGAGGCTGGGTTGGGACGCCGATCCGCGTGGCTGCCGGCTTGGAGACGCAGCGTGGCAAACCAGCCGGCTGGCTATGGCCCGTTTCCTCCCAATACCCGCTGAGGCCAAGACTCAAGGAAGAGTTCCTTGGAATGTGTACCCCCTTTCCCAACTTGAGGATCAAGGCAGGGCTTGCCCGGCCAGCAACCTTCATGGGGAAAAGGAGAGGGAGTCTAAGCGAGTAGCTTTGGACAGGCACAAGTGCTTGCTCAAGATGCAGGTGTGTGGGCAGGAGACAAAATGTTCTAGAGCTGCAAGGCTGTGAATTAAAGACAAAGTTCTAGGCTGGGGACGAAGAGTTGGCAGAGTGCTGGCCTAGGACGCATGAGAATCAAGGGTCTAATGCTACCACCACATAAAACTGGAGGTGCACATCTGCAATTCCAGCATTTGGAGATACTGGTGCAGAAAAATCAGAAATTCAAGGTCAGCCAGGGATTTATGTCTCTACACACACACACACACACACACACACACACACATATTCTACATGAGTTTGGTACCTGGGTGACTGAGACATCCAAATTCAGGGTCTGCCTGAACTGCAGAGTTTAGAGAATGTAAAAGCAACTTAGTAAGTATCTGCCTTAGTAAAATGAGGGCTCTGGTAGAGTGCCTAATATATAGCCCTGTACCAATGGGGGGGGGTCAGAAATGCTACAAATTCTACCACTAGAGAGGCCAAGGGAGACCAACCTTAGCTGCATAGTGAGATTCTCCTCTCAACAGCAAGAACAACAAAAACATTGTTCATGACGTGAGTGGTCCTCCCATGGTGGAGGGCTCCAGAACAGAGACCCGGAGGTCATCAGCAAAGATGCAGGTATGGGCACTACCTGAGCATCTGGACTGAAGTGAGGGTTCTCCTGGAGTTTCATTTGCATGTCAGGTTCCTGAAGTACTAATGGTAAGAGGCTGGCAGCCCTGGCTGTCTGGAAGAAGCAGCCCGGAACCCGCCTTCACACCTGTTCATTTCATAGGGATACCCCACGTACCTGTGAGCAGGCCCTGCCTTACCTTGTGCCAAGCTGCCTCTTATTTTCTTTGTGCGTGCGTGTGTGTGTGTGTGTGTGTGTGTGTGTGTGTGTGTGTGTGTGTGTGTGTGTAAGTCTGAGGTTGATAGCAAGAATCATCTTCCATTGTTCTGCTTTATTCATTGAGGTGGGTTCTGCCCATCAAGCCCACAGCACGCTGACTGATATGGCTGGTCTCATTAGAAATTGCTCCCTAGCCATTTCATTGTATTCCTTGAGACAGGGTCTCTGCAGTCCAGGATGGCCTTGAATACCTGATTCTTCTGCCTCTCCATTTAAAGTGCTGGGATTGCAGGCACGAACCACCAGGCCTAGTTTATAAGGTACTAGAACTAGATCCCTAGATTTTGTGCACAGCAAGCCCCATTCTTTATATGTTTGGGTTTTTAAGTTTATTTTTAAATTAGCATGCAGAGTAATAGGTATTGTTACCATGTCTTCAAACTTTAAAATATTTTATTGCACTATTTTATTGTGTGTACGTGCAGGCATGTGTAAGACAGAGGACAACCCATGGAGTTGGTTCTCTCTCATACCTCCATGTGAGTCTTAGGGATTGAACTCAGGTCATCAGTCTTGGCAGCAACCACCTCACTGCCTCACTACCCCTTTACTACCCTTTTTTTTTTTTTTTGGTTGAGACAGGGTTTCTCTGTGGCTTGGAGCATGTACTGAAACTAGCTCTTGTAGACCTGGTCTCGAACTCACAGAGATCCACCTGCCTCTGCCTCCCAAGTACTGGAATTAAAGGCATGCGCCACCACTGCCCGGCCCCCTTTTTGCTTCATTTTTAAACTTACTTTATGTGTGGGTGTTTTGCCTGCAATTATCTGTGCACTGTGTGTGTGCCTAGTGTCTGAGAAGGCCAGAAGGGGTGTCAATTGTCTAGGACTGGAGTTCCAGACATCATGTGGGAGCTGGAAATCTTAATCACTGACCCATCCCTCCAGCCTCGTGGGGTATCTTAGAGGCTTGTTTATTATTTTAAATTATGTGAAGATGTGTGTATCTGCCTGAAGACATGTGCAGACCAGTGCAAGTGCTCCTGGAGGCGAAAGGCATCTCATTCCTAGCCCTTGGGAAGTAGAAACAGGAGCACCAGGAATTCAAGATCATCCTTAACTACACAGTGCTTAAGGCCAGCCTAGCTACATGAGACCCTCTCTCTAAATAAATCAATCAATACATAAGTAGATAAACAGAAAAATAAAAAATCTCCCTGTTGACAGGCTGGCCTTTAACAATCCTTGTGCCCCAGCCTGTGGGTAGCCAGACTTTAACCAGCATGCACAGCAGTGTCCAGCTTCCAAGTGGTCTTTTTATGCTTTATTTTTGTTTGCAGTGTTGGGAACAGTACACAGAGCCTCGAGTGTGCTAGGATATCACTCACCATTGAGCAACACTCCCACCTCCTCTCTACTTACCATAATCACTCCAGAGCCATTTTTCAGGTAAATTGGGGCATACCTTATGCCCCACAATTCTCCAGAACTATTTGAACTAGGCAAGCCCAAGCCCACCTACCTTAGCCTGCTCCTTTGTGTGTAATCTACCACAAGGCTCTTGCCCTTGTCTACCTTTCCCTCCTTCCCTCTACCCTCGAGGGGTCCTGGATGGTGTATGACTTGTCCTCTCCTCTCAGGAACACAGAGCTGCAAATCACCTTTACAATGTCAATCACAAGGCTTGTTGGGCTCCTCATACCTGGAATAATCAGAAAGTTCAAATTTAAAATCAAGTGCCAGCCAGGCTTATTTGGTCATGGCTATAATTCTGGCATGCAAGAAGGAGGGAGGGAGGGATAGAGGAAGGGAGGGAGGGAGGGCCAAAAGCTAAAGTTCATCCTCAGCTACATAGTGAGTAGCTGGGCTACTTGAGTTCCTGTCCTAAAAAACAATCAAGGACTGGGAGATGGCTCTGTGGATAAAGGTGTTGGCCAACAAGTCCAACAACCTGACTTCAATCCCTAGAATCCACATGGTAGAAGGAAGGACTGATTTCCACAGGTGTGCTGTGAATGCATATATGTTTCTCTCTCTCTTTCTCTCTTTCTGGCTCTCTCTGTCTCTGTCTCTCTGTGTCTTTCTCTCTCTCTCTCTGTCTCTGTCTGTCTCTGTCTGTCTCTGTCTCTGTCTGTCTCTGTCTCTGTCTGTCTGTCTGTCTGTCTGTCTCTCTTTCTCTCTCTCTCTCTCTCGCTCT